TACCTCTGGTGCAAATTACTGACCTCTGTCATCATTTTAAGTGGGGGAGCTTGCACAATCGGTGGCTGACTAAATACTTTTTTGCCCCACTGTATGCATGTTCACACGTGTGTGAGCATGAATCGTCAAGCATATATACGCCCTCCAGCACTCCATCCATCAGAAACTGTCAAGTAAAATGTTGCTGCTTTGTGTACTTGTCTGGTTAATTTTACATGTTGGTTTATTTGTGTAGAGCCTATACTACCCAAGCGACAGTGAATACATGCACATGTGAAATATTTGCTCATCAGCATCTTTTTATGTTGTCTTTTAGTTCATTGCATGATGTTCGGCATTTACCATCCTATTTCCCTTGCAATTTTAGCCCGGCCTGGCAGAACACTGTCACTTGATATTTGGGATTTTATGAGGCTATAATTGTAACAGAACGATTAGAAAAGTCCTGGTGTGCATGCTTAGATTTGCAAAATGTGACAGATAATCTACGCGTGCTGGGATTTGATTACAAATGTCATTACAAACATACACAGATTGAATACATGACTGATGTAGACATGAACAAATCTCAGTACATATTTGAAGATTTTTTTTTTTACATGTTTACAAATCTGATTACTCACACACTGATTGAGGTATGCAACTCTCTGCTCAACTCTTGCAAATAATTCTGCAACAATAATAGCCCCCGGGATTTTTTTTTACCTTGATATTAAAGAATCTATACTAAAAATAACAATCTCTATATGTTGTCCATTCAGTCATATTTTATGGCCTTATAAAGCAACAGATGGTTTGACAAGCTCCAGCTTTCCCAAAGAGAGCTCTTCTGTGAGTGAATGAATCTGTCAGTTTAAGATGTGTTTTGACAACAGCCTGCTGTCTTTACTATCCCCCTGTTGCTCTGACACAGTGAATCTGGCTCCATCGCTAAGTTTTTTTGTTTTTTTTTTGTCTTCTTCATATCAATGTGTGTGTTGGTGTGCTAGTGTGTGTAATTCATTTTATGCACTCAGGCAGTAACCTGCTGTTTTATTATCTTCCTGTGGCTTGGACAAAGTGTCAAGTATATCTCTTTGCTGTGTTTTTACAGTTTTGTCTGTGTTAGTGAGTGAGCTTGTGAGTCTCATGATCCCTGCTGTTTGATGGTCTTCCTTTTCTGTTCTCTAGTTCTGTCTGTCCAGAGCGCTTTTCTCTCTCCCCTTCTGTCTCTCCCTCCACAGTTCCTAATACCTAAGACAAAGAGGGAAGAATAGTTCACAAAAGTGGTACAAAGCAAGCATTGCAAACATCATTATCTCAGAAAAAGTGCATGCAAATTCATCAGAACATTCAGAAACTAAGCAGGGAGTAATGCTATTGCCCCTTGGGGATAAATAAAGTATTTCTGAATCTGATTCTGATTTATAGTCAGTGGATGTTGCATTAATGTATAGTCCAGTATAAGCTTGGTTGATGAAAGTAAAAAACAATACATCTTCATAATTACTACTACTACTGCTATTAGTAATTTCCACTGAAAATAAGTCCCAAATTATAGAAACAAAATCATATCAGTGTCACAAATAAAACTAATTAATACCCAAACTCTGTCACAACAATGACTGTGTTGTGTCCATGTGTGTTTTTGAGGTTGTCAATGTGATAGACAACTTCCCTTTTTCAAATATTTTATGACTCTCAGCTTATTATTCTTACTTCTTGACATTCTGAGAAACTGTGGCTCTAATGATGTAATACATCAGGCACAGTCAGTTCAGCTTCTTTTCCCACCTGTTCATGTTTAACAGGATGCAATATGCGTCTTTGAAAAAGAGGCAGGGAGTTATTCTGTTGAAGCTGTTGAGCAACTCCTCTATTTTTCCCAATAATAGATCAACAGAGAGGGAAGAGCAATAGTAGAAGAGTCTGGGAAACTTAGAAACAGAGCTGAAATACTATCAAAAATTCAGGGAATCCATGTCAGAAGTATAATTTTCCCGTGGACATGATTGATGGTGGAAGGATCAGGTGTGTAAATCAGACTTGCTGGATATAAAATATTTTAATCTATTTCTGACAGGCTTACTAGCTTTCAGTTATTTATTCTCCTCTATTTACAAAGGAGAAATAGTTGTTAATATGGTGTTATTCTAAATATAGGACAGAGACAAATTACAATACCACATACTAACGACAGTGCCACAGAACACTATAACACGGCTTAAGTCTTATAGGAGACAAATTTGATGATGATTATTATTACTGATTATTTGTATATTATCTTGAACATATCTCCTGTTCTGGTCAATATCTAAAGGTTTGCTTCTAAAACAGTGATATCTAAAAAATATATAAATAAATAGTAAAATAGTTGTCTGTCATGCTGAAATTTCAGTTGTGTTTTGTTTTTTTCATTACACAGTTGCTTATTTTCATGCTGATGCGTACATTGGAGCCCATATGTGAACAGCATGATGGACATGATGCTTAAAATATGACGTGAAGGGAAGTGCTACATCTGCACAGGGTGCGAGGTACCCTGTGTGTACAAAGGCTTTGATGTGGGAGTGTGGAGAAATTGAAGAAGCTGAACAATGTAAGGCTAATGCAGAAAAGTACTGAAGCTCATCAGCGCTGCTTACATGCACATAAAACTATTAGTGATTTGTGAACTGCTGTCTTGTCTGCTGATAACAAGGCAGTTGTCTTTCTTGTGTGGTGCACAAGGAAGTGTAACCTTTTGCTAGTGACAATGTACATTAATCAGCATGACTGCAGTGAAATTGCTGTTGTTAAATAAGACACTAAAACTCCAATACAATATGAAAGTACAACATTTAAAACTATTAAAGGAGAGAATGAGAAGAAAAGGTTAAAAAAAAGCATAAAAGAATGTAAAAAAAATGTAATGTGAATGCCTCAATATACTAACTAAACATCTGTATCATATGTTGTTTGCATTTTGGAAAAAAAAGATGCTGATTTGACTAAAGGTAAAATAACCCATCTGTCTTTTAATGTTTTTTTTTTCCAAAGTTAGCAAATCTATGATGGACTGCTCTGTCATGTGAACTTTAATTGTCAAATAAATTAATAAACAAACAAACAAAAAATTTTGTAACATAACGAAATCAATGGTGTTCTGTTTAATATTATCAAATAAAAAATATTATAACTCCTCTGTGATTATATAGAACAAATGCTGAACATAGAATAATTTCACTTCATGAATTTATATAAAATCAGCATGTCACATCTGTGTTAGAGTTTGATTTGCTTGCTTTACCTTGTCTAGCAGTGCCACAGTTGGCACGCGAAGGGTTAACTGATGGCACAACCATAGCTGGACTGGCCATCGGGCATACCAGGCATTTGCTCGGTGGGCCGATGATTTTTTT